TGTGTGTGTGTGTGTGTGTGTGTGTGTGTGTGTGTGTGTGTGTGTGTGTGTGTGTGTGTGTGTGTGTGTGTGTAGTAGAATGCTGTATGCATTTGTGTGTAGTAGAGTACTACATGAATGTGTGTAGTAGAGTGCTGCATGAATGTATGTGTCTAGTACAGTGCTGTATGAGTGTGTATGTAGTACAGTGTTGTATGTATGTATGTATAGTAGAGTGCTGTATGAATGTGTGTGTAGTAGAGTGCTGTATGAATGTGTGTCTAGTAGAGTGCTGTATAACTGTGTGTGTAGTAGAGTGCTATATTCATGTGTGTGTAGTAGAGTGCTGTATACGTGTATGTGTAGTAGAGTGCTGTATGCATGTGTGTGTAGTAGAGTGCTGCATGAATGTGTGTGTGTAGTAGAGTGCTGTATGAGTGTGTGCGTAGTAAAGTGCTGTATGAGTGTGTGTGTAGTAGAGTGCTGTATGCATGTGTGTGTAGTAGGGGTTGAACGAGTATATAATTTTTAAACTCGACATTAACATAATAAAACCCGAGTAGAACACGAGTATTTGATGACGTCATAGATCTCAAGATACAAAAATAAATAAATTAATTAAACCGCAAAACAAGGTAATTATTTACCCAAAAAAAAGACCAACAAAACATTGGGAGCGTATATTATGCTCCTACCATTTATCATTCTGCAAATAAGTCACAGGAAAAACTAAACTATTAGTTATTATTATTAAACTGCAAACGTGAAGAAACGCAGCACGTCAAAAACGATACTTAAACCGAAACTGGTTCTGGTGGATTGGAGTATCTTGATAATATAGGAAAGTGCTATATAACTACAGTCCATTTACGAACCGAGCCTCTATGCCACCATCAAATTTTTATATTTTAGAAAATGGAATAAGAAAAAAGTCTGGAAACAAACATTTTTGATAGTTTTTTTTTTTGTTTTGTTTAGTTTTTTTTTTCGTCCTTATTCCGGCCAGGAAAATGCTAAAAAGTAAAAGAAATGTTCCAAACCAAGACTGCACAGGAACCCTGAGAATAATCTAATGAGAAATAATATTTTGTAAAAGTTTGATTAAAACTATTAAAAGGAAGAATATAAAAATGCTGTTCTCTTAGTTTAGGAATTTAAACTTACATAAAAAGGAAAGCATGACAGAAATAAAAAACAAGTAGCAAGTTGGCCATCTGGCACAAACGTTTGATTGTTACAATGATGACTGATTGTTTTGGACAGATGGGTCCTTTTGTATGTGTTAAAAGCTTCTGAGATTCCAACAGGAGTTTGGCAGCAATGGCTACTTATGGGACAGATCTGGTTGGCAGGCCACAGACTGATGAAGTCTTCTGGATGGAAGAAGAAATGTTTCTCCCTTATAGAAACTAGTCCAGATGAAATGATTTAACCTTTTTTTGTTATCTACCTAGATTATTGAGCCAACAAACCTTTTTTAATGACAGAAATAGTTTTTACCTTGCAGCAGAGAGAAGTATGCATCTGTAGCACTCTTCACTGTGTCTGGGCTGCAGGTGGCGTCAGTGAACATGTCCAGCAGCCTGGCTCGGGTCGTCCTCAGGTCACTAAACGTGCCACACAAACACACGTCAGCTCTGCTTTGACAGAGTTGTACATCTGTCAGTTAGTTCTGACAGAAACTGGCAGCTGACAGAGTTTATTATCCAAAAGCAAAAATAAATCAGAGCCTGAAACGTGTGGAAAGTGTTTAAATAAACTGTAGAAATAAAAGTTCAAATGTATTTCCTTACTTTTGCTTTTTGGCTACATTATGATGTTGGCATGAATGCACATAATTTTAGGGCTGCAACAATGAATCGATAAAATCGATAAAAATCTATGATTAAAAGCGTTGGCAACGAATTTCATTATCGATTCGTTGTGTCGCGCGATTATGCGTCTTTCACCACGTTGCGGAGCCATTTTATTCAGCTGCACAGCATTGTCAATGCTAGCTGACTGAATAAAGTTTGAAAAAAAAAACTGCAGCGCGAGTTGAACAGAGCAAAGCAGAAGCAGAGCAGAGGCGGTGTTTTCAAAGGAAGTTACAAATGGCTGACGCAGCGAAAACTGTTTGACCCAAGTCGACAAAAGTGTGGGAGCACTTCACGCTTCACAAAGTTAAGAAATGTGTAACGTGCAAGCTTTGCAAAAGTGACTTGACATGGCACGGGAGCACCACGGTGATGATACAGCACCTGAAACGCAAACATGTCGGAGTCGTCGCTGAGGAGGAAGGGAGCTCAACAGCAGCGTAAGTCTCTACAATAT